TGTGTAGGATCCCACTACCATCACTGATTGTCAACTGTGATATTCGATCACCTCCAGCTGTCGGATCCTCTTCAAAGTCGGAGGATCCATCGGAAGATCCTCGTCCACTCAATGCGCTACCGAGTGTTTCCGATGCTTTAGTGCTCGTAGCATTGTTAGAGTTATCGGTCGTCCTGGTCAGCGGTGTATACTCCTGTGGATATGGATATTAATGACGATGGATATAGTACTTTGTAACGGTGGAGAACCCGAATCAATAACTTTAACTTCTAGTGTGTAAGAGTTCTTGATCTCGTAGTCAGATATCTCGTTAGTTGACAGTAAACCCATGTTGGGATTAATACGAAACAAGCCCTTCCCGTCACCACAGATGATTGTATGTTAAGTGACTGTTAGCATCGGAGTCTTTGTCGGTGGTTGTGAGGTTGTAGAACTCTGTCCCTACTTTGGAGTTTTCAGGTACACGTACTTGTCCAGGGTAAGGGATGTGGAAAATGGGAGCATTGTAGTTCAGATCAAGAACTGGATTGTCACCGCTGTGTCTGAATGTAATGGAGGCTTACCTGCAAGAAACATCAGTAACATGATTACTATCACTGTATTATCAGCATTATTCTTAGCATGGCTAAGGGGCATGCACTGACGTTTTGCCTTATGAGAGTTTAAGAAGCTTTTTCTAGTTATCTGAATCAGGTTCAATAAGAAATACTAAGAAATACAACGGCCAAACATGATCTTATTTAGGGGCCGGTTGTTCCAAGCCAGTTATCCACCAGTTAAAGTCATCCTCAAGTTATTTTCAAGTTATTTTTAATGTTTGGCTTCATCAGTCTACATGTAATTGATCAGTTCTATATACAGAGAAGAGATTAACATGAGAAAAATGTGTTGGACATTTTAAGTATTTTCATTTGAAGCTATGCTCTTCTTTCCAGATCACGATTGGAGAGACTGTCCCTTCCAAGAAAGCATTTGATTCTTTGCTGCGGTATATTTATTGTGGTGATTTTACTATGCCACCAGAAGATTCCTTGTATCCTAACTGAATTCTGAAATGCAGTGTCCTTCATTAAAGTCAAAATTTTTGTTACCAAGCTCAAGGAGAAGCATTTAAGGATGCCTACTTTAGGATATTGCATTGAATTATTCTCCTTAATTACAGTAATTCAGGTATCTTCTTTCTGCTCCTTTTTTCTTTGGATTTACAAACAACAGACTGCAGGTTTGTGCTTTGTTCTCTATCTATCCAATAAACTCATGTAGCATCCACCTGTAATAA